CGCAAAGAATTCAAGTACCTGACCCCCCATCATGGTGAACCTCTCCTTGTGATCGGGATGAGGTAGATGCCTCCCAGCCGGGGAGCGGATCGAATCGGAGTTTCCTTAGGTAGCCACCGACCTACAGTTCTCCTTAAACTTCTGTGCTTGGTGGAAAAGAAGCGAACAAAGGTACGCTCGCTTGCTGTCTTGTTCTCTGCCGCGGACTGGGATCGCTCGCCAGCTAGGCCCTCTAGAAAAAAGTTGGAGCAACATTGTATGAGAACATATTACCCATCTTCGGGGACAAGGGGCGGAACGACCTCTCGATCTACTTACTGCAGCCCAGGACGGGCGTCGTCGTCTAGGCGTGACTTCTTGTTTTGATCTCCCCTACGCCTAGGACGTAGTCTGGGCCAAGAGCCATAGTTAGTTGCTGTTTCCATTTGGTTCTTCTTTCTCGTTGTTGATACCGGCAAGACCCAGCCAGATGATGATGTCTGCAGGTTGGTAGTGAGAGGACTCTTAGTACCCGCAAAAAAAAGGGCGCTGGTGAAAAAAACAATCATTTGATTTAGTTTCTTGCTCTCCCTTAGCAGCGGGAAAGGAGTCTATCTATCTGCCTAGCTTTGGTAGATTTCCCCCAACGCAATTCAAAAACGGAAATTCCACGAATCCTTGAGGTGGATAAGTCCGACGACTCAGCAGCAGTGCGGAATTGAGTTTCTGGTCCGGTGGATCTGATCTATAGTTAGGGGGCAATACATACCAAAAGGTTCGAAGAAGGAAGGCGCAGTATATAACCAACCCACCCATAGCCGGTCTAACTGCTGAGAGAGAAAAGTGCTTTTCTTTCCCTAAGAGTCCTCAAGTACACACAGCTATTGCTGATCCTTTGCGAGATCAGGATGAGACCCTTCAGAATTTATAATCAATCCATGTTAGGTCAACATCGAGACAGAGCATCTCTGTTGGCTCTGTCAAGGAAGTGAAACAGGCATTCCTAGGTTGGGTGGGGTTACCATAGGATTGACCCTCAGTCAGGCCTCCGATTCCAAGGAGTTGATTCAGCAAGTTCCCCGTGCTACCCCGCGGGAAGTCTAATCGGATCAATCGGTGGTTCCGTAATGAGTAGTCGAATACACATTGAGGGGGCCTTGCCTCCTCCTTCCCGCCCACACCTTCATTCTTTTCCTCCTCTGATCTTAGAAAGCATACTAAACTTCACTCCAATCTTTCTCCATTAGCAACAAGAGCAGCTCTATCTATCGGCCCTTGATGAGTAAGCTTAGCTATACCGCTTAGGTTGCAAAGCAGCAAGCTCCCTTCTAATGCGTTATTAGGCTGCTTGGAGCCTTCCCGCTTAGTAAGCCGCCTTCGGCCCTTCCTCCTTCTTACTCTGTTTGGTATTCGCTCGCGGGTTTGTTTCCAGGTTCTTTCGTTCTTGGTTGGCTCTCTCTATTGTTGTTTGTAGATCGTGCGTCCTGCGCATTGATCCGGCAGCGAGACCCGCCCTGGTTGTAAAGCGAGCCGTCCTTCCTTTCATTCGTTGCTTTGTCTTCGGTTTGTTTTTAAACTAGACCTTCTCTCGGGACTGTGGTGACGAACCTTACTCTCCTCGGTCAAGTGGTTGACCCGTCTGTCCAATAAGTTGACTAAGTGAATGGTAATCCTATAGTTTGACCAGCCTGGGAAGAGTAGTCAGAGGCAATTCGCTAATATGGAGCTGTTTATATCGGCTTTCTTTCCTAACTAACAGGAAAAGAGAGACATGCGAGTTCGACTCTCGTTCTATCCATGTTCAGCAGTCCTTTTCCATCTTGGTACTGTTGATGGCAGTACCGCTCAACTACGAGATGCTTGAAAGTCGATGTATCAATAATGTTCCCAAGAGTAGCATCGAGCCTCGAAACGGCAAGCCATGCTTCAAGCTAAGTCAGTATGGATCTAATTGATTGCTAAACTGAAGGCTCTGTCGAAGATTCTCATTCTGAAGCAGGTGCCTAGCTCTGGAAGGATGGGCGGGATCATACCTATTTGAAGAACATTCTGTAACACTTGTTTTTGAGTGGGGAAGGAAAAGAAGCACACAAGCGAACAACCATCTAACCGTCAGTCTGAACTCCCAGTCCATCAGTAAGAAAAAGCTTCCGTTTCCATCATTCAGCAGTGGAATGTCTATCGTGATAAACCGTGTGATTTGAGCCTATCTATAGCTAGAACAGTGTGATTCTATAAGCTAAGCAGATGAGGCAACAAAGAACCTAACCGTCCTCTCTGATTGACTTCATCAGAAGATTCCTATGGTCTGGTTTACCTTTCTTCTTTCCTTGCAACCTTGGATCGATATGGTTCATTCCTGGGCTATGCTCTTTCAACGGTTGACAGAAGAGGGGGACGGGCAAGGATGATCAGACTGCTTGGTTCGTCAGAGGTATTAAAAAAAACCTTCTTTTTGGTCTTTTCTTTCTTGCCGCCACTTTGTGCCGCTGCAATGAGAGCGTAAGTTGCGGAATTTTTTCTTTATTCTTTTTTGTTTTGGTGCGCTCTTCCTTTTTTGAATTAGAAAGAAGGGTTCAGTGGGAGGGCAAGGGGTAGTTAAGTTTTAGGTTGGCTCTTTTTTTTTTACTGACTTTTTTTTCGGTGTAATTTAATAAAGAAGTAGCAATTGTTCATTTCATTTTTTTCTTCTTTTCTTTACTCAATCCAGCGAAGAAAAAGCAACTCCTTTTCCCCCCCTTCTTGCTTTGGGGGGTGGGATCCTGAAGCTGCCTACCTTTCTTTTTGGCGGGTAGCCGCGAGGAATGTACTTGATGACATCGAGTTTAAGCTATTCCAAGCCAAGAGATTCAAACTTTGATACAGTTGGTTTCATTGGTCCATTCTTAAGGGGAAGTCCCGAAACTTAACTAGTCAATTGAGAGGATCATTTCGTCGGCATACCCTGAAGAACGTACTCCCATCTTCCTTCACCATCCTTCCTTCTAACTGTACAAATGGAAAAGACAGAATGAAAGAAAGAGAATAGTAATGTAATAGGAAAGAGCATAAACTCTATGTCAATTTCCAGAAGTGCGAGTTTATGACTTCGAGTCTGGTTGGGGTACATCGTTTCTGACGAAGGCATCAAGGCTGACCCCACGAAGATCGAAGCCATTACCAGCTGGCCGATTCCAACGTCCATCCACGACATTCGGACTTTCCATGGCCTTGCTTCATTCTTACATTTCTTGCTTCTTTTTCTTATGCTTTTCCTATCTCTATTTTATTGACGTGTGCAATACTTCTTTCTATCTTGTGAAAGGTAAAAGCGTTATAGATAAGTGAGACACTAAACTACGGCAATTTGAGACTGACTGACTTTGATGAAAGTACACTACTTGAGAAACACTTCTTTTCTTATGAAAGAATAGTTACTACTACTTGCAGTTTTAACGTTTAAATAAAGTACGAAAAGGAAGTGATTGCTTAGGGGGATGAGTCCCTCATTGAATGAGGAAGCCTGACCTCGGTTATTAGAGAGTCTAATTCAGTAAGTAAGAACAATTACATTAGAGCAAGATCCCATTGTTCTCATGATCATACCTTTCTACCCAGTCTCGAAGTATGGTCTTCACCTAACCTCTTTCTATATACTTAACGCGACCCACGCCTACTCTCCCGGGCCTAGAAGGTTTGCAACATTCTCATGTTTGTTCACTTGACAGATTTCACACTCTTTCACTATGCTACACACGCCTTTCTTCATGCCAGGCCAATACACGTACCCCTTTTCTTCCTCTGGTAGGTGGCTAGAATGCCAGAGTGCCCTCCTCCTGGTGTGCCATGCATCTCTCTTATCAAGTTATTTCTGACATCACCCTGCTCGCCAACATAGATCCAGCCCTTCCTATTGAGAACTCCACCTTGTATCACCGGTTCGCTGCAGAGTGCCTAGTTGATTTTTTCCAAAACCTGTTTTCAAGCTCTTCAATTTAAAGAAGGTAAGCAATTTCTGCAACGTGTTCTTCTCGTAGCGCGTCGTTACGCTTGGAAGAGGAAATAACCACATTGATAAAGAAAGTTAAATATTGAAAGACTGGATCTAATACACTTCTCTTGATGCCGCAACAGGCCGTCAGGTTGGTTTTGGTGGGCTAAACAATGAACATTATATCCGTAAGGACATTCTTGAAGAATCAAAGCTTCTAAACCATTCCACTCACCGCGCATGTTGCTTGCTCCATCGTAACCAGCTCCCCTGGATTGATTTTGCTTTATGGCAGCATAAACTAATTGGCAGTAAGTGCTTCGATATGATGTGGTTCTGTATCAATCCTGAGGCCTGTATTAGTATCATAGATGGGTTTCCTTTTTTCTGAAGCTGGAGTACCTATGGAAGAGGCTTTACTTTTCGATAAGGAGATGCGGACTCGTATGCAGAGTTCTTTCAGTCGAGCAGTTGAGGGAACGAGTAAGATACGTTTGTCAGTCTACTTGAAACTCGATCTTTCAGGAATTAGTTCACTTGCCATTCAATCTCTTTTCCGAGTTCATGTCTTAGAAGGAGTACGCAATCTCCTTTTCTATCCCCGTGAGAAGCTGAACACTGCCTCCCTCTCAACGATGTCACTAGATAGGGACACGCATTTCTGCCAGGCCATAAAATCGAAATGAAAACAATCTCTCCCTCCTACGCTATGAAGGTACTTTTCTTCACCGGATTCGAGTGATTGTGATAGCTGTGGTTGGGCATCCGAGTGCTTCAAATGGCATGTTGTTTCTTAGTGCTTCCCTGCGATTTAGGGACTCCGCAATATTATTATATCCTGTCATTCTTTCCCTATTGAAGGTGGATTAACAACCTTTATTTGGTTGTATTCTCATTCATCTTAACCAATCATAACACCAATTAGGTGTGGTAGTTGGCCACTACTTATGAAATATCTCAAACCCACGAGTGATTTATCATAACAAAACTGTGCCCAGTTCTCTTTGTCTTCGAGCTTTTATTCCTCAATCCACTTATTCGTTCCCTTCTTTCATATACCTCCCCACCAATAGATAGAGACAAATGGGAATAACCGAACCACGTCTACAAAATGCCAGTACCATGCAGCTGCTTCAAAGCCAACGTGATGCTTCTTGGTCAGATGACCAAGATATTGGCGAATACCACATACGATCAAGAAAAGAGTACCTATAATCACATGAAAACCATGAAAGCCAGTTGCTAAGAAAAAGGTAGAACCGTAAATACTATCCGAAATAGTGGAGGGTGCTTGGTAATATTCCATTCCTTGAAAGCCAGTGGATACTAGAGCCAGTGAAACGGTTGCTACTAAAGCGTAAACTGCTCGTTTTTCCTTCCCCGCGAGTATAGCATGATGAGCCCAAGTTACGGCAGCTCCGGATGAAGGGAGAATAGGGGTATTAAGAAGAGGGATTTCCCAAGGATCTAAAACCCCAATCCCTTTTGGGGGCCAAATACCTCCGATCTCTACCGTAGGTGCCAAAGAAGAATGAGAAGAAGCCCAAAAAAAAGCAAAAAGGAACATAACCTCCGAGACTATGAAGAGAATAGAACCATATCGAGGTCCTAATTGTACAGCTTTTGTATGATGCCCTTCCAACGTGGATTCACGTAGAACATCCCGCCACCATACGAACATGGTATAAAGGAGAAATATTAGGCCCAAACTGAGAAGTGTTGCACCCCCTTGAAATGAGTGCATGTACATCACACCTCCTACGGTGGTTGCCAAAGCTCCGAGTGAACCCGAAATAGGCCATGGACTTGGATCTACCAAATGATAAGAATGCCTCTGAGATTCAATCATAAACCACTTTGCCCCGGTTGTATGTAAACCCCCCTTCACCCCCATCCCCTAAAGTGGTAAAGAAGGAGGCTCTTCTTTGTCTCATTAGGACAAACAAATAGGAAGGGATAGTTCTTTCATTGCATTGATAGAAGTGAGACTATCAAAAGATTTCTCTATTATTTAGAGAAAAGAGTTGGCGTGGATTCTACCAACGAAACGTTGAAGTTTTTTATTGGTCTTTATCATGCCCTCTCCGTTATGCCCTCGTTAGACCTATCCATCCATTCGTAAGGTCGTTCAGAAGCAAAGGCCTACTACTATACTATACAAGTACGCTGGTCATCAAACATCAAAACATTACCCATTTTCATTTATATCCCCCCCCACCTTATAGTCCTACACCTTTCTTAGGACTATCAAGCCTTCCCGAATTAGGTCTATGGGTACGAAGGCCTCTCGAATTTGTTCTACAGTAGAAGCTTTGAACGTAGACCCGGATACAAATCTTTCACTCACTGAAAAGTGAAAACCTGTAACTATATCGTCCTGAAGACGGATGCGACGGGAAGAAGTGGCATTTAGAAGTGTTGCTGACTTTACATTTAGGTTTCGGCATAACAAAGCTTGCACTGTCTTTTCGCACTTAGGCGCACAGCGTGCCGTTGGTAATGATTCTACTACGGCGCTGCAAATTCGCAAGCTGATCCTAAGTAATCGTTGTTGTTCATTGGATTCCCCCGGAATTACTTCGTTAGGATTGAAGAATTGCTGCAATTCTTCCTGAATAGACTCGATTCTCCCGTCGAGAGTTTCTTTGAAAGTCTTACCTAAACTCTTCCGACTGAATATGAGAAAGCCTATAAAACAACGAGCTACTATCATTTCTTCATTATAGATTGAGATCTTCTTCGGACTTGATGCACAAATAGATGGAATAGCAGCAAATAGCATATTTCTTCTATCCTTCTTATCCGTTGAACTCAATCCCATCGTGGGGTAACTATATCCTTTTAAGCTCTGCTCCCAAAACAAAAGAGAAAGGGAGACGATCTCAACTGGCCTTGGTTTTTCCGAGGAAAGCAATTGTAAGAGTCACTATTTAGAAAGCGTTATTATTATACACGACAAACCTACCAATAAAACAAAAGGGGAAACAGAAATGATTAACCCCTCGACTACCTTTTTTGATTCGGGTTTCGCTTCGGGGGGGGTCGAGCTCGGCACTGGCTCAGCTCCCCACCAGAGCTCCTTTATACACCTATAGAGAAGAGATACTGTAAATATTCAGGGATATTTACTGTATCATAAATATGATCTATCAAAGGAGGAAAATCCAAGCGAAAAAGCCATGTTACCACGTTCGTTATAACCATACTAGGTGTGTCATTACTATATCAATCTTTATGTATTTCTTTCCCTTTTTTCGCATGTGATTTGATTGCTGTAGTAATTTAATTTAATTAATAATTTTTCTCTATGCGGCGGGTTCAATCATTCGTCCAAGTACAACTTTAAGATTACGCCAGTGTATGTCACATTGGATCCTCAAAGGCGCGTAGCGACCCAGTACAACTCAGGGTCTGCTTCACTCCACCGGCCCTCAGAGAATCGATAAGATGATTTCAAGGGCGCAAATTCGAAATAAGTTGGCTTTTTTCTTTCGCTTTTGAAGGGCAATGTGTAAAGAAAGAGTGCTGCGTTCTTTAATTACGTATCATACTGTTCGCTAAAAACCAATTGAAATGGAAGAGTAGGCGGCCCGTAGCGGGATAACATTGTCTTTGATCTCACGACCCGGGGCTTGGTATTTCTTCTAAAAAGGCGCGCAGCGAAGGGGCGCAGCCCTACGTTTTCACTGTTGACGAATAGAGGACGACAAAGATCTCTCTCGCAACCAGTTTGAGACAGACCTCGGAGCGACGAGAAGAAAAAAATATAAGATAAGGGACAATTATGTAGAAATAGCGCGATAGGCACGAAGTGAGCATTCCAGTGCCAAATGGCGTGCACGCCGAATCCCGGGATCAAGAGAAGCACTGGTTTCGGATTCTGGTTGGATTTGTTCGAGTCATTTGAGACCCGCAATGAAGCAGGGATCCAACAGTGGATGGGGGTGTCAGAGTCGACACAGAGACGGTGAGGGGGGCAAGTGTTCTTCGGACTCATTCCAATTGAGTGCCAAGATGCGCCTGGAGCATAGCGCTGGGGTGCGAGAACGAGTAGGAAGTTCTGGTCCCACCCGGAAGAGTGCACTGATAGCCTATCTATCAATCTTCTACAGCCAATGACATAAGATAGGGAATCTTTCTGATTGGTCTAATTGAGAGGGAAGATAGGATGATATTAGTTGCAATCGGAGAGAGAGGAAAGTCTCGGGTCTTATATGCTTAACACGTTTTTGTCTCAATGACAGGCCGCTCGAACATTGTCTGATTTTTTTTTGAAGAGACTCGATCTTATGTATCTACTTATTGTCTTTTTGCCTTTGCTCGGTAGTTCCGTAGCCGGTTTTTTCGGACGTTTTCTAGGATCTGAAGGAACCGCTATAATGACCACCACGTGCGTTTCATTTTCTTCGATCTTATCTTTGATTGCTTTTTATGAAGTCGCACTGGGAGCTAGTGCTTGCTATCTCAGAATAGCTCCATGGATCTCATCGGAAATGTTTGATGCTTCTTGGGGCTTCTTTGGCGACCGTGAAGTCACCGGATGAATTGCCGAGTAGATAGATCAGATCCGGACGCTGCAGTTGTTCCGCGGTGATACGGACTCGACCCGCTCCTACCCACCCTGGGGTATCATAGCATGTCGGGAATCGAGGGGGGACATACTGGACGTAACAACTCCCGTCGGTTGGGGGCTCTGCCGCCCTGCCTTTCGATCGATACACAGTTGAGGAGGCCGATCACGAACGTGACAGGTGTGGGAGCGATCCTGGGAAGGCAAGGCTAAGACGGCGCCTTGCATATGGGTAGCAAGAGGGCGCTTATGCCCCGACGGTGGGGCCTTATGGGGGAGGGCCCAGCCCAATAGGGGCAGCACACCCCCCACTTTAAGCGCATCTCTGTATCGACAGAATAACTCTATCTAAGGGTGACGTCGGTGGAACCGGTGAACCACGCGAGCTGGTTAGATGCGTGGGGCAGAGGGCTCGTAGTACCCCCCTTTTCTTGATCCAGCCTTTTCTTCGCTTCGGTAGTTAAGAACCTAAAATCCAAGGGGGGCTGGCCTGCACGCCATACCTATACCCATACAGTGCCAGGCAGGCGGTGGACTCATTTTTGGATTAGGGAAGGGGGGAAGGGGCCTAAGCACGGCAGATGCCGTACACTTGAGTGGCAAAGGAAAGCGAGACCGTACTTCTTTTGCCAGGCCTGTTCTTACATAAGGTTCCTCAAGTTGGTGAGCCGTGTGATGGGAAACCTTCCCGCACGGTTCGGAGAGCACTGAAGACGAATGAGAGGTTCACCACCACATCATTGCAAGGGGAGCTCGCTCGATTCGCAGATTGGTCTGACTCGTAATTCACTTTTGACTCCGTGTTCGATAGCCTGACCGTAGTAATGTTAATTGTGGTTACATTCATAAGTAGCTTGGTCCATCTTTATTCCATTTCATATATGTCTGAGGATCCGCATAGCCCTCGATTTATGTGTTATTTATCCATTTTTACTTTTTTTATGCTAATGTTGGTGACTGGAGATAACTTTCTCCAATTATTCCTGGGATGGGAGGGAGTAGGTCTTGCTTCATATTTGTTAATTCATTTCTGGTTTACACGACTTCAGGCGGATAAAGCAGCTATAAAAGCTATGCTTGTCAATCGAGTAGGTGATTTTGGATTAGCTCTTGGGATTTTTGGTTGTTTTACTCTCTTTCAAACAGTAGACTTTTCCACCATTTTTGCTTGTGCTAGTGCTCCCAGAAATGAATGGATTTTTTGCAATATGAGATTGAATGCCATAACTCTGATTTGTATTTTACTTTTTATTGGTGCTGTTGGGAAATCCGCACAGATAGGATTGCATACTTGGTTACCCGATGCAATGGAGGGTCCCACTCCAGTATCTGCTTTGATTCATGCAGCTACTATGGTCACTGCTGGCGTTTTCATGATAGCAAGGTGCTCCCCTTTATTTGAATACTCACCTACGGCTTTGATTGTTATTACTTTTGCAGGAGCTATGACGTCATTCCTTGCGGCAACCACTGGAATATTACAGAACGATCTAAAGAGGGTCATAGCTTATTCAACTTGCAGTCAATTAGGCTATATGATCTTTGCTTGCGGCATCTCTAACTATTCGGTTAGCGTCTTTCACTTAATGAATCACGCGTTTTTCAAAGCATTACTCTTCCTGAGTGCGGGTTCGGTGATTCATGCCATGTCGGATGAGCAAGATATGCGGAAGATGGGGGGGCTTGCCTCCTCCTTTCCTTTGACCTATGCCATGATGCTCATGGGCAGCTTATCTCTTATTGGATTTCCTTTTCTAACTGGATTTTATTCTAAAGATGTGATCTTAGAGCTCGCTTACACAAAGTATACCATCAGTGGGAACTTTGCTTTCTGGTTGGGAAGTGTCTCTGTCCTTTTCACTTCTTATTACTCCTTTCGTTTACTATTTCTAACATTTCTAGTACCAACTAATTCATTCGGGCGAGACAGATTACGATGTCATGATGCGCCCATTCCTATGGCCATTCCTTTAATACTTTTGGCTCTCGGGAGTCTCTTTGTAGGATACTTGGCCAAAGTGTGACCTGTTAGCCCATAAGTCAGTACTGTGACGAAGCGGCTGTTGCTCACCCGATACGATCGTACGAGGTCACAATTTACCCAACACGATCATCCGGGGTGAACAAGAATTGGGGATCGGATGCGGGCGAAATTCCCGCCAATGGCTGAGATGTTCAGTCGACTCCCTCCCCCTTTGTAGGGGTCTGGACCCCTACGAGTGAGCAGAAAAGGGAGGAGGAAAGAGGCCCTGGTGAACCGTCATAATAAGTGAACAAGTGTAAGCTTTGCTGCCCGACAGTATGGAGTACTGACCACACCGAGGGACAGGCCCTGAAGCGAAGGACAGGAACGAGCGGAATTAATGTGTTCCAATTTCTGGCCTTGCACCGACCATCCAACGGACCATGGACTAAATGGCCACTGCCTGAAAGGACTATGCTATGTCCAGGGGACCGCCGCCCTCCACAAGGTACATCTTGCGCCTATGGGCCGCTATAACTATCCAAGAAGACACTCGAAAAAGGAAGGATAAACAAACCTACCCGGTGGACTGCCGAGCTACAAGTCCTACGACACAGGAGCGGGATTCTCTAAAAAGCCAAGGTCGTGGGTGGCCAAGAGGGCCCACTTGGAGACTTGGGATCTCAGCAGGAAATGTGAAGGTTGCTTAAAGCCGGCCGATAGGCGAAAGAGAATCCAAAAGTTTTGTTCTGATCTGAGTAGGCTCAACATAGGGAATACCCTAACCCTGGGAACCGGGGCATATAAATCCGCTTATGGCATTCACCCAAGCATACAGAGACAGATGGAATGAAAGAAAGAAAAAGTAGCTCCGCAGCTCGCCCATCAGAAGAAAGACCCGCCGCTAACGATTTGGAAATCCCTGGTGGGCTGGGCCTGAAAGACAAGTGTGTGTGGATTTCCACATCCTCGTCTTTACTTTAAGACACAACTCTTCTCTTTCTCGGTCAAATGACTTGCGATAGTCTACCTTGAGTAGGACCATAGGGATCTTATGTTTGTGGCGAAAGATAAGTGGTTCTGTCACAACCAAGAAAGTTTCTATGAGTGAGCGACCCTTGATAAACGCCGATTGATACGTGTCAATGTCAATAAGTGGATGAGTGTTGTTAAAGACAATGTTTGTTCCTCTTCTTTGAAACGATTTTGATGAATCTCGAGATGATACTGATTGGCCTGAAATCCTCGACGGTGTTGGCATCTTTTTTCTTTGGGAGGAGAGTGATGGATGCCTGGGTTAGCCTCCAAACATAAAGGCCATTACTATGAAAGAGCTGCAAGAGAGAAAGCAGTTGCGGGTGGTCCCAGAAGGCTTGGATTGCACAGATTCTACCAGAGGATGTTGAGATGCTCCCATTGCAACTCACTGATGGAGAAGAACTGGAGAGCTCAGCTAGAGCTGGAGGAGGTGGTAGTACCAGTTCCCTACTGGTACCAGTGGTGGCTTGATCACTTCAAATTGGAGGGACTATTGGGCCAAATTCCCATACTGTAAAAAAGGGGGTTTTCTTTTTTGATATATCGGGGGTTTTGTGTGCAGAGGTCGCCAGGTTGAAGTTGGATGTTGCTTTTGTAGTTCCCAGTGAAGGATGATACTGGGTCTATGATGCATTTTATTTGGATTTTGGCTGATAGTTTTCGATGAAGCCACAGATACTACTCTTGTCTGAGACCTGCTGGCTTCATCCAGAGGGAGATTGTTCTATTTTGTTGGATCATAGGGAACAATGAGGATGGGTATGGGGAGATGGTCGTTTAGGGTTGATTGTAAAAAGGTTATTTTTCTTCCTGGTGGTGGTTTTGTGTTTCTTTGAATAATAGGAAGAGGCCGCCAAGGCGCGGAGCGATGAGTATTGCCCATTAGGAGAACCCGTTAAGAAAGCCGGAGCAGAAATCCAAGCTTCTGGTAATTTATTCAATTACTTGAACAGTTTTTTCTTTCTTTGTTGAATTATTATTTCTCTTTTGGTATGTGGTTATCTAAAAGCATCTGTGACTTGTTTTAGTACTTTCGTCACAACTATGGCATTGGCATGGCCTTTGCTCAACTAGACTATCAGAGCTCGATCATGGCAAACGAAGGAACTCAGACCCGATCTAGACAACTTGAGGAGCAAGTTAGAGCTATGAGAGAATCCATGGATAAGATCCAAACAGATCTAGCCGAACGGATGCAACAACAGAGTGAAGAGTTTCAAGCTCAAAAACAATTACAACAACAACAGTTTGAGAAGCAAGTAGTTGAGTCTATTTTTTAAATACAGAGAGAGGTTAGTGGCTTCAACGTTGAGTACCTACTAAGAGTTAGTTCTCGACGGGCAATAAATCATATTGATGAAAAATCACCAAGGAGCATGAAACAAAACACATAACTTACGTACCCATTGTACTTAGAGCCAATAAACTACCAAGAATCCTCTGTCTCAACCACTTTCTTCTTGTCTTTACATCGATTTCCAAATATAGGAAGGGAAAGTAACGGAGAGCAAGCAAAAGAAAGAAATCTATCAACGACCGACTTCGGACTAGAATCTAGAAACATACCTAAGGGAAGAAAGCATATTTGAGGTTTACTCCTTCCATGTCTAGTAGGAGTGCGTGCTTCTTATTGCCTTTTGAGCAGTAGTTGTATACATTCCTCACTCAGTCTAATTAATTCTCTTTCCCCCTACCCAAATACCAAGGGAGGTTTATGAGTCGTATCCTCCTTACGAGATAGCGGAAGTAGCATTAGCAGGAAAAGTAAGCTCCTTTTCAAGCCTTCTCTTTCGTAACCTTTGATTAGTTCCTTGGATGCCCTTAGCAAGAATGATGCAGGAGCAATACCAAAGTGTTTCAAAGAAGGATTACCTTGACTTAGGTCTGCCTCCGGCCTAAATTAAATCAACCTAAGTTAAATGGAGTCTCTATCGTTCTGCTGCAAGAGTGGAATATGAGACTTCATACACCTTAAAGTTCATAGAACGAAAAGAATTTTTTTGGAGGTCCTCATTACGCCTAGCATTTAGTGGGCTGGATATTTACCTTTGAAACTAGCAAATCAATAAGGGTTCTATTTGATTAGGCACCTGAATCGGACTGAACCAACTATTTGTCAGGCTACTGTTCTCCTATTCTCTCAAATCCATGAAGTAAGACATTGATTTTGCAATAAGATCCATTATGTTCATTGCATAATAAGCTCCCTTGAAAAGCATTGGCGCACGTGTAAACGAGTTGCTCTACCGAACTGAGCTATAGCCCTTGTCAGAGATATCTTAATATATATAATTTCTTGTCAAGATGAATATTCTCTAATGGTAGAGGATATCCTTTGATCTGTTTACTATATAACATACCAATAACGAAGCGGTATTGCTTATAAAAAGGATTCGATCTATAATCGATCGAAGTAAAGGGTCTTCCTTTGTGGTGATAAATTGCCTACTTAACTCAGTGGTTAGAGTATTGCTTTCATACGGCGGGAGTCATTGGTTCAAATCCAATAGTAGGTAGGTAGGTAGAAAAATTACTAGATAGCATTGGACTTACTTCGCTTCGCTATCTAATAACTTTTTAGACCCTTTTTCTTTGTATCAACTAAACCGTTGGATTGTCTTCAATTAGATGGGGGAATCCAATTAACAGCCTCGACTCGTATCCCAGCTCGTCTGAGAGCTAGCTTCGCTTCAACCAATTCTTTCGTACCCTCAGCTCTACTCACGTTAGCTTCGGCTATTTCAAGTGCCTGTTGAGCTTCTTCCGGATCAATGTCACTACCCAGTTCCGCATCATTTCCTAAAATGATGATCTCATTATTAACTATTCTGGCAAAACCGCTCCACAGAACCGCCGTTAACCATTGATCGTTGAGGAGGCGTATTCTCAAGGGACCCATATCTACAGCTGTGTTAATGGGGGCGTGGTTTGGTAATACGCCAATTTGGCCACTATTAGTAGAAAAAATGATTTCTTTCACTTCACAATCCCAAATAATTCGCTTAGGAGTCAGTACATAAAGATTTAATTTCATTTCTTCAATTTGTTTTCCTCTTCTAAGTTTATAGCTTTCGTGCTAGCTTCATCGATGTTACCCACCAAATAAAAAGCCTGTTCGGGTAGGCCGTCTAATTCTCCGGAAAGGATTAGTTGAAATCCCCGAATTGTTTCTGCAAGACCAACATACTTTCCTGGAGAACCGGTAAAAACTTCTGCCACAAAGAACGGTTGTGATAGGAAGCGCTCAATTTTTCGTGCTCTTGCTACAGTTAAACGATCCTCCTCCGATAATTCATCCAACCCAAGAATTGCGATAATGTCCTGAAGTTCTTTGTAACGTTGTAAAGTTTGCTTAACTCTTTGCGCAGTTTCATAATGTTCGTTGCCAACGATCCGAGGTTGTAACATAGTTGAGGTTGAATCTAAAGGATCTAGGATAAATACCCTTGGAAGCTAATCCTCTGGAAAGTACGGTAGTAGCATCCAAATGTGCAAATGTTGTGGCAGGAGCAGGGTCGGTCAAATCGTCCGCAGGTACATAAACCGCTTGGATCGAAGTTATAGATCCCTTTTTAGTAGAAGTAATTCTTTCTTGCAAAGAACCCATTTCTGTACTAAGAGTAGGTTGATAACCCACTGCAGAGGGCATTCTCCCTAATAAGGCAAATACCCCCGATCCTGCTTGAACAAAACGAAAGATATTATCGATGAATAGAAGCACGTCTTGCTTATTAACATCTCGGAAATATTCTGCCATAGTTAGGGCAGTCAAACCAACTCTCATACGAGCTCCTGGCGGTTCATTCATTTGGCCATAGACTAGAGCTACCTTTGATTCCTCAAGGATTTTTTTCATTAATTACTCCTTTATTTCCATATAAAGATCATTTCCTTCACGAGTCCGTTCCCCTACTCCGCCAAATACGGATACGCCTCTATGAGCTTTAGCAATATTGTTGATTAATTCCATGATGAGTACTGTTTTACCTACTCCAGTTCCCCCAAATAGTCCGATTTTTCCTCCACGCCGATAAGGAGCTAAAAGATCGACCACCTTAATACCAGTTTCAAAGATGGATAATTTCGTATCTAACTCGATTATTTCCTAATAATTGTTGTACCTCACAAGTCACATTAATTTGCTTACCGTCAGTGTCTCGACTACCAAAGCGTTATAAATATAAGGTAACTTGCCCGGGGGAAAAGTGGCATCCAGCACGGGTCCAATAATTTGATCGATACGCCCTGTACTTTTTTCTTCAATTGTAGAAACCCCGGGATGAGAAGTAGTAGGATTGGTTCTCATAATTAAAAAAAAAGGAATTTATAGAAATTTTTCTTTTATTCTTGTTGAATAATGCCAAATCAACACCAAAAAAATATCCAAAAATCCAACAAAAGTCAAAAGGAAATGAATTAGTTAATTCAATAAGAGAGAAAAGGGGACCAGCACTTGATTTCGTTGCCCAAACGAATCCCATTCAATCGTTTACTCATTCCATGAGTCCGTCGGAAAGTTCAATCAATCTTTTTTTCATATACATTTCGCCTTTTGTGAAGGATCTGTGCCTACTCCACTTTCTTATCTAGGACTTCGATATACAAAATATATACTACTGTGAAGCATAGATTGCTGTCAACAGATAATTTTTATAGTATTTAGGTATTTCCACTCAAAATAAGAAAGGGGTCTATTAAGAACTTGTAAAATAAGGATTAGGGATTGATTTGGGTTGCGCTATATCTATCAAAGAGTATACAATAAAGATGGGTTTGGTGAATCAAATCCATGGTTTAATAACGAAGCATGTTAACTTACCATAACAACAACTCAATTCCTATAGTAGGATTCCTATAGGATAGAACATACACAGGGTGTACGCATTATATATGAATGAAACATATTCATTAACTTAAGCATGCCCCCCATTTTCTTTAATGAGTTGATATTAATTGAATATCCTTTTTTTTTAAGATTTTTGCAAAGGTTTCATTTACGCCTAATCCATATCGAGTAGAACCTGTCGTTGTGAGAATTCTTAATTCATGAGTTGTAGGGGGGACGTATGTCACCACAAACAGAAACTAAAGCAAGTGTTGGATTTCAAGCTGGTGTTAAGGATTATAAATTGACTTACTACACCCCGGAGTACGAAACCAAGGATACTGATATCTTGGCAGCATTCCGAGTAACTCCTCAGCCGGGGGTTCCGCCCGAAGAAGCAGGGGCTGCAGTAGCTGCCGAATCTTCTACTGGTACATGGACAACTGTTTGGACTGATGGACTTACCAGTCTTGATCGTTACAAAGGACGATGCTATCACATCGAGCCCGTTGTTGGGGAGGAAAATCAATATATCGCTTATGTAGCTTATCCATTAGACCTATTTGAAGAGGGTTCTGTTACTAACATGTTTACTTCCATTGTGGGTAACGTATTTGGTTTCAAAGCCCTACGCGCTCTACGTCTGGAGGATCTGCGAATTCCCCCTACTTATTCAAAAACTTTCCAAGGCCCGCCTCATGGTATCCAAGTTGAAAGGGATAAGTTGAACAAGTATGGTCGTCCTTTATTGGGATGTACTATTAAACAAAAATGGGGATTATCCGCGATAAATTATGGTAGAGCATGTTATGAGTGTCTACGTGGTGGACTTGATTTTACCAAAGATGATGAAAACGTAAACTCACAACCATTTATGCGTTGGAGGGACCGTTTTGTCTTTTGTGCCGAAGCTATTTATAAAGCACAGGCCGAAACCGGTGAAATTAAGGGGCATTACTTGAATGCGACTGCAGGTACATGCGAAGAAATGATTAAGAGAGCTGTATTTGCGAGGGAATTAGGGGTTCCTATTGTAATGCATGACTACTTAACCGGGGGATTCACCGCAAATACTAGTTTGGCTCATTATTGCCGCGACAACGGCCTACTTCTTCACATTCACCGAGCAATGCATGCAGTTATTGATAGACAGAAAAATCATGGTATGCATTTCCGTGTATTAGCTAAAGCATTGCGTATGTCTGGGGGAGATCATATCCACGCTGGTACAGTAGTAGGTAAGTTAGAAGGGGAACGCGAAATGACTTTAGGTTTTGTTGATTTATTGCGCGATGATTTTATTGAAAAGATCGTGCTCGCGGTATCTTTTTCACTCAGGACTGGGTATCCATGCCAGGTGTTATACCGGTGGCTTCAGGGGTATTCATGTTTGGCATATGCCAGCTCTGACCGAAATCTTTGGGGATGATTCTGTATTGCAATTTGGTGGAGGAACTTTAGGACATCCTTGGGGTAATGCACCTGGTGCAGCAGCTAATCGGGTGGCTTTAGAAGCCTGTGTACAAGCTCGTAACGAAGGGCGCGATCTTGCTCGTGAAGGTAATGAAATTATCCGAGCAGCTTGCAAATGGAGTCCTGAACTAGCCGCAGCTTGTGAAGTATGGAAGGCGATCAAATTCGAGTTCGAGCCGGTAGATAAACTAGATAGCTAGATAAGTAGATAAAAAAAAGGTCTAAATAAAAAAGAAGCGAAATAGAAAGATCAAAAATCAGTTACGAAATGCAGTAATTCTTCTTTTTTCTTCTAATTGATTGCAATTAAACTCGGCTCAATCTTTTTTTTCAGATTGAGCCGAGTTTAAATAGATCTTGATACGATCATGAGACTTGACAAATCGGGATTCCTCTATTCTATATATTTAGAAGATATAAAGGTATAATACAATAAATAAATATAAATATAGTATTATCATATGATAATGGAATCAAATACGCACTATTTACAGAAAAAGTCTTCATTTATTGGGAAAGAATCAATGACATACAATGCATTACAAACGTATGACCATTACCCTTCAACCGGGTTATTCTATTCCACTTCTAGATAGAGAAAAAAACTAAAGGAGAATACTTAATAATACGGCGAAACATTTATACAAAGCACCTATCCCGAGCAC